CCCTACACGGCAGCTAGAATTCTTCATGAAACACGTACTCTGCCCAGAATCCTGTAGTGGCTTCTCATCGCAAAGCCAAGTCCCTAGTCTGGCCCTTAGACTCGTATGTGACTGCTTCTATAATCTCATCTCCTAGTACTCTTACTTCACCCTGCTCTAAACGCAGGGTTTTCTTAATTGTCTTCCTCAAACGTTTGACGCACACTCGTACCTCAGAGTATTGACTGGCACGGTCTTCCTCCCAGGACTCCTCTTCTGCCTATGTGAATGAGCTGCTCCCACACTTCATCTAAGAATTTACTAAAATACTTTTTGTCAGAGGCTGTCCCTGATCTCTCATATCTAAAATCCTCTTCCCCACCTCATTTGCAGATCAATCTACATGTTTAATTGTAAATTTTTACATCTTTATCTCATCTTTAACTTACCCAGGCCTACTTTGACAGCAGATTTTTTTTTTTTTTTTGCGGTACGCGGGCCTCTCACTGTTGTGGCCTCTCCTGCTGTGGAGCACAGGCTCCGGACGCGCAGGCTCAGCGTCCATGGCTTACGGGTCCAGCCGCTCCGTGGCATGTGGGACCTTCCCTGACCGGGGCATGAACCCGTGTCCCCTGCATTGGCAGGCGGACTCTTAACCACTGCGCCACCAGGGAAAGCCCCAACAGCAGATATTTTTAGCAGTCTCTTTTATTGAATTCTTTTAAAAACATTCAAGTTACTTTCATAGAAACAAAATCTCATTTTTTTGTACTGATAAAGTCACTGCCTTACATAATTTTTATTAAATCTCATAATTATAACAACAGATGCAGTTGGCATGAATGTTTTGGGTGTAAACATACCTGCTTGCTAAGGCTAAAACTTAACTGGTGAGAGCCAAATGTGGGCTTCATTCTAGAGCTGTCTACGAGGCTCAGCAGACAGACCACTGTGGACATCAGGCAGAATATTTACAGAGGTGGAGAGTCTTTGTTAATCGTCTGGGGAATTGATCAAGTAGATCTCGATTAAGAGAGTTTAACTGTAGTTAAAAACTGAAACTGAAATAAGCTTAGCTTGATTATATAAAAGAGCTCTTCTAGATTATTCTAACTTTTATTGTTGGATTAGTTCATCTTGAAAATAAATTATATAATTATCTCTAGTAGAAACTTTCGTATAAAATTAATTCCAAGAGTGGAAATAAATGACTACTAGAGAATCACTGCTTTTCTTAAAATAGCATATATTATAAAAAAATATATCTAATGAAAAAATTCTGGAGTTGGATAATAATGATGGTTGCTCAGCATTGTGGAGGTACTTAATGCCCTTGAATCAAACACTTAAAAATGGTAAATTTTATGTTATGTATATTTTCCCACAATAAAACCAAAATAAAAATACATCTACACATAAAAACTAATATAAAGAAACCTGTGGCAAATTATTAATGTGCAAAATATAGAAGAAAAGTCAGAATTCATGGAATTAGAGGACTTGTATTTATATAATACTATTTCTACCATGAATGAGTTGGCAACATTTTGACAAATCTTTTACATTTTCTTTTTTTTTTTAATTAATTAATTAATTTTTGGCTGCGTTGGGTCTTCGTTGCTGAGCACGGGCTTTCTCAAATTGCGGCGAGCAGGGGCTGCTCTTCGCTGTGGCGTGCGGGCTTCTCATTGCAGTGGCTTCTCTTGTTGCGGAGCGTGAGCTCTAGGCGCGCGGGCTTCAGTTGTGGCACGTGGGCTCAGTAGTTGTGGCTCACAGGCTCTAAAGTGCAGGTCAGTAGTTGTGACTCACAGGCTTAGTTGCTCCGTGGCTTATGGGATCTTCCCCGGCCAGGGCTCAAACCCATGTCACGTGCATTGGCAGGCGGATTCTGAACCACTGCGCCACCAGGGAAGTCCCTTTTACCTTTCCTTAGCTGTAGTTTTCTTAAGTTTAATGTGAATTTACTTCTCACAACTCTCGGGAGTTTTATGAGGAAGAAATGAGGTTATTTATATAAAAAATCTTTTATGAACTGTGTAAGTCAGTTTATAGACTTCAGGTGAATTTTTCATATTTTTGGAAGAGTAATTCATTGAACTGACTGTTGGTATTGCATATAAGGTTTTGGCTTGAGGCATTTGCTATTGAGGTTTTAAAAATATTTAAATTGCGTATTTAAAATGTTTTTTTGTGTGTGTGTGAAAGTGTAGCTGTTTATTCCCCAGGGTTTAATTAATTGAGAATGGAAAAGTTTAGCTTATATTTGGAGAGTTACACTTCTTATTGGCATTATTAAATGTTCAGGTTTTTTATTATTGATGTCTTTACTTAACGGGTTCCCTTCATAACTTCTGAAGGGAAAACCTTGCAAGCTGAGGTAGATACTGGATAACTTAGTTTTTCCTTTCTTATTTGAAATCAGTGTGTTAAAAAGCAATTATTAAAAAAAAACGGTTTATGCAGTGGAACAGGAAATGGTAGACTGGGCAAGTATAATGATGTCATAAATCAGATTTAAGTAATAGAAAATTATTTAGTTTGGACATTGATTAAAGTGCATTTCTGGTTGCTCACCTTCAGTGGACTAAGAGATATTTTTTTCCTCTGAGTAAGAAAACAGTGAGTTGGAGGAACTCAGTTAATTTCAGAGGTTTATTTTTGTAAAAATAGAGACAGGATGTCAGAAGATGGTCAATAGAAAGCTCACTTTAGAAGGAAGCTCTTTTTATAAGGTAAAGAGGAAAAATAATCAGAATTTAATTAGCTGAAATCTTTATTGAATGTTCCATTTGGGGCATAACAAAGAACTCTGTACCGAGGATACAATGTATAATATTAAAAAGATGTGATCTTAATCTTTAGAATTCACTGTTTTAAACATCTTCCATCACTAACTTAACCTGTGTTCAGTTTCCAGTGATTCTTTTTTCCCTTAGTTAATTGTAACATTTCTGCAGTTTGCTCCAGAATTACTTTAGATAGATGTGTGGCCCATATGACATATTAGATTTGCGTGCCTTTAGGCCACATACTCAGTCTTTTATTTGCCATAGTCTCTGCCATTTCTATGGTCTCTGCCTTACCACACTTATTTCACTTATGTGAAACACCTGGCCTTTGGAGATGTATGTCACTCTTGCTAAGGCAAGGATAAAAAGGAAAAGGATAATTCCTGACTGTTCAACCCATGCCTGCAAAGTTCTTACCTTTTCCTGTCATGCCTAGTGAGTGGGGATTCCCACAAGGCTTGGATGAGCATGTCTGAAACCAAGTGATCTTTAAATTATCCCTATGCTTGGTGTCATCTCCTGGTTTTAGTTATAGCTTTCTAATGCTCGAAGTGCTGCTAAGTCTGTTTTGTCATTTGCCATAATATACTGTGAATAAAGGACTATGCTAAATTTCCCTTAAGCCACAGTCTAGTGGAGAGTAAAGACTTCTAGTTTTATCTAGTTATTCCTCATACTTTTTGAATTGATATTTTTGGAAATGATACATTCCTTGGGGACCTCTTTTGGGGGAGGGGCCTATTACTAATATAGTAGTATTTCCAATTATATTTAAATGAATGTCTTCAAAATGTAATGGTTAAGGTGTTTATGTGGTAATAGAACTTAAAAATAAATCCTATAAATCATTACTAATTTGAAATGAAAAACTCTGAACCATCCAGGTATCACTCTGTTTAAAATTGCCCTGACCACATTCTCTGTCTTCCTTACTCTAATTTGTTTTTCTTCATCAGACTTTTCACTGCTTAAATTGTGTATTTGTGTCTTTATTTGTTGTCTGTCTCTTCCTACTATGTAAGCATGTGAGCAGGTACTTGTTTCTGATTCCTGTTCTATTTCACTGGTTACAACAGTGTCGGATACATAATGAGAAACTTACTAAATATTTGGTCTAGGAGTGCATGAAACCCTTCTCATCCACCTGTAGTATGTTCTCTTCAGGGTGCTGCCCTCTCCATTCTACTGTCAGCATCCTTTGGCTTAGTACATATAAAACACGGATCCTGATGTTGTAACTCTCCCTACTCGAAGCCCCCCATTGTCCTCAGAATGACATTAGTCCTTAAGTATATCTCACTTAATCTTCTCACTTTAATACAATTTGTTGTCTATCTGCCTGTTTTGTTTGTTTGTTTTTTTAATTAAACCTTTGAGCTCCTTGACGAAAAGAACTTTGTTGTCTTCATCGACTTATCCCCTACTCCTTACATGGTATCTTGAGGTCAAGAAATGTTTGTCGAATGAAGGAGTAACATTTTACATGGGGAAAAAAGGCAAGTCCGGAGGTGATACATGCTGATGAGTGTGCTGCTAGTGAGCAGCAGGGTGGGACTGACTCCCTCAGGCCAGTGCTCTACCACTAATAGGAGTAGATTTTGATTTTTAACAAAAAGTATTTTTGTTTCTTCACTTACAGATATTGAAGATGTTAAGAAGTACAAACCTGGTTACTTAGAAGCTACGCTTAATTGGTTTAGATTTTATAAGATACCAGAGGGAAAACCAGAAAACCAGTTTGCTTTTAATGGAGAATTCAAGAACAAGGTGAAGTTCATAATCTTTACTTTAAAATGTGCCTGTGATACCTGTACAATATTTCTTTCACTTTGGGGGATTTCATATGTGAACATTTGTATATAGTATGATAACAAAAGTGCTTTCTACCGACTTTCATATTTAAGGACATTATTTTTATCATTTTTATTTTTAAAAAAGTTTTAGGAGATCTAAGTAAATCAGTAAGGCTGATAAATACCTATATGCATCTGTTTATCTATCAATAAGTCCTTCGTCTCAGAAAATGAAGGATTTCCATGATCAGTCTAAGTCTGCAAATTGTGTATGAAGAAAAGCCTTCCATTTACTTACTCCAGAGAAGGGAAAGTTACTTACCATTAATGCAGATTCAAAGGGGCTTCCCTCCTAAGTGTTCATCCTACCATGGCTGAATTAAGCTGCATAACAATTAAGACAGCACTTGAATTATCTTACTGTCAGAGGATTTTTCTATTAGAAAACCACAAAGTAACCAGAAAGTGGCTCTAATATGACACATGTGGAGGAAATAGACCAAAGAGTTAAAGTCAAAAACATGGACTATGTCTGTTAAACTTACTGCCACTATATAAATTTCACATTATAAACCAACCTTTAAGTGGTACTAATAAATAAAGTACATTTTGCAGGTAAAGTAAGCCATGGTCGTGAAAACTTTAAAATTACAATAAGTATTTTGTTATACAAGAGTTTATTGCTGAACCCAGTATTTTTTAAAGGTACATTAAAAGAACACTTAAGATCTTGAGGGCTTTGTCTAGGATTTTTAAATATAAAACTATTATTTTAGACTGTAATCTCTCACTTAAGGAAAATTAGGAACATTTTGGGGGAAAAAATATAAAGAATTTTCTGCTTTGGAAAAATAAAGCAAGTTTTCCTTAGATGGTCTTACTAGATCCATGTCTATTGTTGATTTTACATTTTTAGACACTCTATCAATTCATACTAAGAAAAAAAATTAGAAAATGTTGAGGTTTACTACCTTCAGACAGTGGATAATATAAAACGATTATGCAATTGGACTACTTACAGCTTTGATGATGATGAAATTAATAAGTATATGCTTATTTACAAGCAAGATATTGATAGTAGGCTAACCACTTTACATTCAACATCTTATTTATTCTTTCAACAACTCTATGATTTAAATCAGGGGTTGGCAAACTTCTTTGTGTAAAGGACCAGAAAGTAAATATTACAGACTTTGTAGGCCATATGGTCTCTGTCACAACTACTCAACTCTTCCATTGTAGCACTAACGCAGTCAGAGGCCATGCACAGATGAATGGGCATGACTGTGCTTAATAAAAACTTTATTTACAAAAACACATGGTGAGCTGGATCTGGCCCACAGGCCCAAGTTTGCCAAGCCTGGATTTAGATGATCTTCATTACATTGCATATTATAGATGAAGAAATTAATACAATGAGATTAAGTAATCTGCATAAAGTCACACAGCTGGTAAATAAGGATGTGAGAATTTATACTCAGGTTTGCCTGACTACAGAGCTCATGTTCTTAATAATTAACTGTCATACTATGACTAGTTCCATGTTAGTATAATGATGTGATTGCTTTGTCTGGTTTTGGTTTTTAACTAGGCTTTTGCTCTTGAAGTTATTAAATCTACTCATGAATGTTGGAAAGCATTGCTTATGGAGAAGTGTGCTGGAGGGGCTATAAATTGGTAAGGACTTGTCTTTTCTATGTAGAGCTATTTTATTACTAACCGGTACTAAAGAGCCATATGATACTGCTCAGATCTGATTTTTTTTTTTAAGAGAATTGAAATGTTTTTTTATTTAAAAAATGTTTACAGAGCACCTATTTGAAAGGCATTACCAATTGCTGGGCACTGTGAAATTAGGAATTGACATGACCCCTTTTCCCAAGGAATTTATAGTTTAGTGGGGTATACTGTCAAGTAAAGAGGCATTTCATTATAATGCACTGTGATTATATGCAAAGGTGGATTTTCAGCGACTTTTCAACATGCAGACGTATGATTAATTTATGTAATAAGTACCACATCATTTCTTGGTCAGAACAGTTAAAAGCCTTCTTATCCAACATGATCTGGGTCACCAGCTAATTGATTAAGGGGAATCAAACAATAGTAACATATATAACTCAAGCGTTTTATTTTACTTTAAAACATTTAAATGTACATTCATTTATCAATCTGTGGATATAGGGCTAAGACCTTTTCTGTATAGATTACATGTAGATTATATATAGCCTAACTTAATATATAATAGAAAGTAAAGATCAAACCCTGTAATCTTTAAACTCCTTACACTTAAAAACCCTTATAAATTTTTAGGGTTCTTTTTTTCTAACCTTTTACAGTTGTCTTACCACACCTAATTTGATACCAAGTTTTTATAGTGATTCACCTTTATGGAGGCTTTTTAGAGCCTTGATAGTGTGTACGGCCTCAGTGGTTTTAGAGCCTACTTGGTGTTCATAGAAACAGTTCTCTTTCCATACTCCCTTCATTGATGGGCGTAATTACAGCTTTAATTATGAAATTGTAATGCCAAAGACCACTGACATAAAAAAAGTTTGGAAACAAAAACAACTGACTCTTGGTAAGCCTAACTAGGAAGCAAAAGTACACAGTCTTTCTGGAGAGCAGAGTCCTACCCATCTTCATTGTCCTCTTTGAATCAGGAGAAAGTGGGAAGCCATTTACTCTTCAGCAAATAGTGATTGAGGGTCTACTGCCAAGTACTGTGCTGATGGTAGGGTTGCTGCCGTGAATACAATAAATAGAGTCCCTGTCCTTCTGGGGCATAAAGTCTGGGAATCAAGAGAGACATTAAAGAAATCATTAGAATAAAGTAATATGGAGTAAAGAATTAGGCAGTCTCAAGCAATATTTCATCCAAGTCATCAGAGGCTCATCTTGCAAATGCTTGGGCATTATAGCTTCTGATTCTGTTTCTCCTGAGTCTAGAGTAACACTGTGGACTCCATCTTCCCCTCCCATTTTTCTTACCTCTTATGTATTGATAGAATACTCTTGTTTTTCAGCATAGTCTTAAAATTTAGGTAATTATTTCTAACATAAATAGTACAACTTAGTAACAAGAAAACTGGGTGTAATGAAATGTCATCTAGCCCTCACTATCCTAGTAACTAATAGACTGAATTCTTCTTTATGGTCAAATATTCTAAGTCAGATATTAATGTGATGGTCTCCTCTAAAAAGAGGGGCCTCTGATTGTCCAAAGAGGTATTTGCTTTTGCTGTTTACATTCCTCTCCTTCCTAAAGGTACTTTCAGAAAAGCTTTTGCCGTCTTTAACGGGACTTGTATGGTTCCCAGGTTTCCTGAGCTGCACAGCTAGAGAGCATCTCTGGTTAGATTTTCTATAACTTGATAGCATTCCTTCTATGCTGATTCTAATTATCTTTACTGTAAAGGTAACTTATTTCTATGCTCTGTGGAGTCATTTTGCTGTAGCCTCCTAGGTAATGATAAGGATTACATTAGCAATAAGAATTGACATTTATTGAACTCTAGTAGTTTTCAGGTTCTAAGAGTTTTATATGTATTATCTAATTAATATTCACCAGAACCCTATACGATGTGTATCATTATTTTATCCATTTTACACATGAGGAAATTGAGGCCACGTAGAGATTGTGACCTATCGAAGGTCTCACTGTGTGATGGATTTAAGCCAGACTTCAAACCTACTTTCTCAACAGCTTTATTCTTCCTCTATGTTTTCAAAGAATACAACAAAATTAATTTTTTCAGCTTGAAAATTTTTAGGATATAAGTTTCTGGTTATAAATTTTACACATCTAGATAATTTCAAGTCAAAATATTCAGAATTTTAACTCATTTTTGTCCATATTTTCTTTATTTTTTGTCACTACTTGATTTGTAAAATATATTTATATTAATAAAATTTTTCTTTCCTTTGTCTTTACCTAATGAATTGCTTCTCTCTCTCAGTTCCTTACAGTGTACCCTGTTACTGATTACCAAACCATCCCCCCTTCCTTTTTAACCTGTTCTCCCCACGCAAATCAGTTTAGGTCCGAACTGAAGACATTATCACAGCAGTTCTCTCAAACAATGTATAGTACAGCACAGTTACCCAGGGAAACTATTAGAAAATTCAAGTGTGTTGTCCTTTTCTTTAAACCTGGCGAATTAGGATCTCTGAGAAGTAGGGTCTAAGCATCTGTATGTTTTAAAAGCTCCCTGGCTTCTGATGAGCTTCTCTGCTTAGAACCATTAAATCCAAACTTCTCTTAGAAGAACAAACAGGGCCTTCCAGGATTTGGCACTTGGTACCCGTCCAGCCTCATTTTCCGTCACTTCTTGCCTCTTTTTTCATATTCCAACAACTTAGAACCACTTGTCACTCCTCACAGACACCATGTTCTTATTGACCTCTGGGCCATACTCACTTTGTTTCCCTTTGCCATGATTTTCTTCTCACTTCTTGAAATGGCTGACTTACTTATCTTTTAAGACTTGGTTTTGACTTTGCTTTCTCTAGGAAACTTTCCCTCATCCTAGCCTTGTGCTTGCTAAGGTGCCATTACACTCTATTCCTTGCCCCCCCTGTGTAGTCCTATCACTGCATTTATTAATTAACTGCTTGTTTTATGAGTTTGTCTTCTCCTCTAGAGTATAAGTTCCTCAAAAGTAGATGAATAGGGCTTCCCTGGTGGCGCAGTGGTTGAGAGTCCGCCTGCCGATGCAGGGGACACGGGTCCGTGCCCTGGTCCGGGAAGAACCCACATGCCGCGGAGTGGCTGGGCCCGTGAGCCATGGCTGCTGAGCCTGCGCGTCCGGAGCCTGTGGCCCCAGGCTTCTCATTGCAATGCCTTCTCTTGTTGCGGAGCACGGGCTCTAGGCGCATGGGTTTCAGTAGTTGTGGCACACGGGCTCGGTAGTTGTGGTGCACAGGCTTAGTTGCTCCGCAGTACGTGGGATCTTCCTGGACCAGGGCTCGAACCCATGTCCCCTTCATTGGCAGGCGGATTCTTAACCCCTACTGTGCCACCAGGCAAGTCCCTAGATGTTGTTTTTTAAATCCAGTAGTGACTCTACTGTTTCCAGGAGCCCTGCATTTATTAAATTATTTAATTGATAATCCTCTTTATCACAATAAGTTTTGTCATTGTTATTTTTATTCCTTTTCCCCACTGCTTAATGTTTACTCTGGAAGCTACGTATTTTTTTTTAGCAGGGATAATTTTGTTCTTTCTGTTTTTACCAAAAACAACTTTAAATTCTTTGTAGGAGAAATACAGTTTTTTGCCATTTGGGTTTACTCTTCAACTCCTCTCACCCTTTCTTCATCTTGGTTTATGTATCTACCTTATTTTTAAGAAATCAGAACTGCACTGTTCATTTCACCCATTAATTTTATTTCACTCATCATTATTCTGATCCATTCATCTTACAAATTTTTCAAGTTTTGACTGATTCTCAACTTCCTTCTAATTATAAAGCTGCTTTAATTTCTTTACTCATAAATTGTTTTTACCTTGCAACTACTCTCCTGTTTGACATATTCTTTACGGTACTGTCTGAATTATCTTTGAAAAATACAGATGTGATTGTCATTTTTATGCTTAAAATCTTCTTGTGACTCCCTTCAATTAATAGGATCTAATCCAGCTCTTCTATATATTAAACAGTGTGTCTAAACCGACTTTTCCAGCCTCCTGTTCATCTCCTCCTGTTTCATTGTCTTTCCTCCATGAATGCCTGCTCATTCTTCAGGAAGCAGTTTAGATGTCACCTCTGCAAAGTGTTTTCATTTCTTTTGGGCAAAATTAACCATACCCTCACCTGTGCTCTCATATCACTGCTATTTCACACCTCTAGGTAGAACTTGCAGTGTTTTATTACTTTTTTTATGTTCTAAATTGAGTTTGTACTTTAGCCCTAGTGACAGGACTTGGCATATAGTAGGTAGTTTAAACATGCTTACTAAATGAAAAAAATTATATAAATATATATGAAGTTTTTCAAAATATGTATATATTTCAAATATATATATTTTTTTCATATATATATTCTTCCAAATTGTTTATGTTTTGAAGTTGTTTCTTTTACCTTTCTAGAGGAAGGTGTATCTGATCCATATATGGATAGCTCCAGTTCTTTTAGCTTTGTATAGATTTACTTCAATGTCAGTTTTCTTCGACAAACTCTGGAGGTTATGGACCCAAATCATCATTCTTATCTCTCTAAATTTTCTCTCTCCTTTTTTTTGAGTACTTTGCTTTAGAATGAAAAGCCTTGAGCCATCTGAATCTTGAGCACTGTCTTTGAGGATTCTCATGAGTGTGGGCCTTTGTCTGATTTGAAATTGTCTTGAAGAAAATAATCTTCTCTTTACTAAAATTTCATATTGCTGGCACTGTAAATTTCATCTTTTAGGTATCTGTTTATTATTTGCAGGTAATTTTCTATTTCTGTTTCTTTTTTTTTTTTTTTTTTTTTTTGCGGTACACAGGCCTCTCACTGTTGTGGCCTCTCCCGTTGCGGAGCACAGGCTCCGGACGCGCAGGCTCAGTGGCCATGGCTCACGGGCCCAGCCGCTCCACGGCATGTGGGATCTTCCCTGACCGGGGCACGAACCTGCATCCCCTGCATGGGCAGGCAGACTCTCAGCCACTGCGCCACCAGGGTAGCCCCTGTTTCTTTTTATTTAATCACTTATTTTGCTCTTTACATAGCTATTAATATATCTTTATTATTTGTAAATGAAATTCGGTTTGTTGTGCATAGCAATTATGGTATTGTTGATCTTTTGTTCTAATGTCATATCTGCTTATTTTGATCAGCAAGATTGTAGGGTACACAGTGTTTATAAATTTAGAACAAAATATTTAATATCTTTTTATAAAAAGGAAAGCAGCACATTCTTCCCAGTCAGTATTTTTAATCTCATTTATAGTAGAGGCACCATCATCTTTAAGTGGTTATACTGCTTCTCCTTTTGTATGCTATAGTCATAGTTTGAAAGCTAGAAAGAACCCTAAATATTACAATGTTCATGGGGGCTCCATGGTTCAACATTGTATCCCCAGCATCTAGAAATGTCCCTAACACATGGCATAAGAATAATTTTTTGAATCAATAAATAATATGAGTCAGTGTTAACTATTTTTGTATAAGGGACAATTCAGATAAAATTAAAATGTTTCTTGATAACATGCCTTTTATTACACATTCAAAGTAAAAATCACTTCCTTAAATCCTGAGGAAAGTATATTGCAACCCAGATTGCATTCTTTATTAACTAAAAGAATATTAGTGAGGAGGATGGCACTGTTTATAGAAATAAAATGCTATAAAAAAAGGAGGGGGCTATTGGAGAAATAGTAACAAGGGGTTTTGTAATCTCTCCTCTTTTATGTTTTATATATCATTCAAGAATCTCCTAAGTCCATTTGTATATACCTTTCATTTAATTCTTGAAACAGCCATACTAATAATTTGTCCAAGGTGAAAAATGGTAGAGCTTGTTGGCTTCCTAGATTCTAGCTGGTTACTTGTCAAGATATTTTATTGGGGATATTTTAAAAGTTACTCAGTTTTTTTAAATTCACAGAATATTTTAAAAGTTACTCAATTTTTGAAATTTACAGTGCTGGCTTTAATATTTTCTTTCTTTTCTAATATTTCTGTTGATGGTTTTGCTTTGTTGTAGAAATAGAGGATTACTTTAGAGATAGTTTATTAGATTTAACAGGTAAAAATAGAGAACACCCCCTTAAATCTAAATTTCAGATTTTAATGTAAATGTCTCGTGGGACGTACTTATACTAAAAAAGTTGCTTGGGACATACTTATACTAAAAAATAATTTGCTGTTTATCTGAAGTTCAAATTTAACTGGGTGTTCTATGTTTTATCTGACAACCCTATTTACAGGATTCCCTGTTCTCTCATCACCATTTTCCTAGAATTCCCAAGGAATGTTTCACTTTGGTGTAGTTTTAATGTTAAAAACATTGTGTGTAGCAGGGGCCCCCAACCCCCAGGCCACGGACCAGCACCTGTCCGTGGCCAGTTAGGAACTGGGCCGCACAGCAGGAGGTGAGCGGTGGGCGAGTGAGCGAAGCTTCATCTGTATTTACAGCCGCTCCCCATCGCTCGCATTACTGTCTGAGCTCCGCCTCCTGTCAGCATTATGGTGAGTTGTATAATTATTTCATTATATATTACAAAGTAATAATAATAGAAATAAAGTGCACAATAAATGTAATGTGCTTGAATCATCCCCAAACCATCCACCCCTACACCCCAACTCCAGTCCATGGAAAGATTGTCTTCCACAAAACTGGTCCCTGGTGCCAAACAAGGTTGGGGACCGCTGGTGTATAGCACATTTAGTATTGTACACCATGTTTTCTTCAGAAGAGTAGCACTTAAGACTTTTCAGTATCTGTTTTTTTGCCTTGTTCCTTTTAAATTTAGTTTTGACTTTCTTTAAAGAAACATCTAACTTATAAAGCCTTACCTTTTTCAGTTTTTAGCTTACTTAAACGTGGGCTATGAAGAAGAGAGTACAACATAGTTTAGTCTTAAAGATGATAATGCCACCTTTCATCAAACATCATCACTTATGCCAAGAATGAAAACAAATTCCACATTTTGAGTCTGGATAGAGAGCAAAATGACCACTTTCATAATTGCTATGTACCCAGTGTCTGATTACGGGCAGATGTAGCTGAAAAGATAAATAAATAACTAGACAGATCTTTTTATCATATATATCCCAGCATTTTTCACAAAGCCATTGCCAAAATAAATTTGATAATGTACATCCCTTAGATCCACTTGGAGAGCACACATGCGTGTGTGTGGGTGTGTGTGTGCATGTGTGTGTTTCATCTATTGATTATCTCCTTTAGGGATCTGCTAATCAATTATTTCTTCAATTCTGAAAAATTAATTTGGTTTTAATGCCCTTCTCTACTACCTTTTTCTATATCCATTTTAATCTGATTTCTTTGATGAAATTTTTAAAAATCAGACTTAATACATTTGAGGGGAATGATACATTTGCTTTCATCTAGGAGGTAAGAAATACGTGGTGGGCAGCGTGTTTGTGGAGATAGCATGCTAGTCCCCACTGTGTGGGAAGACTTTGGACTTTATAGAGCCTTTACTCTATAAAGGTCATGGGAGGAGCTGCTATCTATGCCTTGCTAAACTTCCTTACTTGTACAAAAGCTGAGTTTTCATGTTCCTGTGGTTTCCTCTCTCCACTGTTAGCTTAGTGTTCCATACCTGTCTGAGAAAGAGATTCTATAGCATCTTTCAGCAGCCAATTACAGTGTTTATCGCCTCACTTAGAGGAAAATTCTTCCTCGTGGTCGTCGTTCTATGGGTCAAATTTGTTTTTTTTCTTTTCTTCAGTAAAGGTGAAGAGTAGTGGAATATCCTTTTATGTACCAGGAGATTATTTAAATTTGTATACTATCATTTGATTTTTTTTTTTTTAATTCTGGAGGGTGCAGTGCTATGGAGCACTTTATATTTATAACTTTGCCTGAAAGAATGTACAAGACCCCAGTTGTCCTAATTTATATTCATCCAGGTCCTTTTTCAGGGTATCTTGATCACATTTCTGCAGTGCTCTAGCATTCTGCATTAGAAGGTCTCTTGTCTCCTTTTGAGTGAGTGAGTGAGAGACAGAGAGAGAGAGTGTGTGTATGTGTTATTATCCACTGAGATCCAAAGACTCAGTAACTGTTGGCTGGGATCATACACTCAAATGTAAAGTATTTGAGAGCTGGTTTTCTTTTTGGTAATTGCTCCTTTTTTATCCTGTTTAATAATAATATTCTCTTTTCCTCTCCAGCACAAATGTGCAGGTATGTGATAGCCCTTTCCATTGCTCTCAGGAGGAAGCAAGATCATTAGTTGAATCGGTAAGGAACAAATGTCCAAGGCATCCTTTATTCTTATAAATGTCATGGGGAAGTCTAGCAGAAATTCTGAAAAATCTAGCAGTGAAATGTATCAAGACTTTTGGGGAGCATAAAGTTTAAAAATAACATTAAAATTATTTTTTCATGCAGGGAATTTAGATTAAAAACCTTAAAACCTTTTAGTTGTATTTCTATTTTCTAAATTACATTAAACCCTTAACTTGATTTCATGTGATACTATTTTTAACCAGTTTATTGTTGTGTGAATGCATTTGCTCTCCTCTATACTGACCTGTTCCCATGAGTTATCCACAATCCAGTGTCTAAATTGTGACTGGCTGCTGGCACAAGTGCATTTCGGCTCAAAAAAAAAGAAATAAATATATCTCTTTTCCTTTTTTTATTTTCCATTTAGTTTGGTTACCTCACAAGCTTTCCTTCTCTTAACTAAGAAGATATCCTCAGATTTTTACATGTCTTAGTGATAATACTGCCTGGAGGCAACTGAATTTATTAGCAAAGTAATGCTTGATTTGGAAACCACTAAATAAGAAAATTCAAATTCAGATAATCAAGTAATGTTGCTGTGTAAAGTGTGTTCAGGAGTGATCTTAGGCTAGAAATCCCATTTATAAATTGAGGGTTTGGGGTTTTTTTTTCTCTTAATTATCGGATAGAAACTAGTGAATTTAGATCTTTACTTAAGGAACAACAAAAATGTTTGCTCACAATGGCTGCTTTGAATTCTTTTTCCATTAATTAATCAGTTATTTAATTATTGCCTGCTACGTGTGGTTAGAATCTAGGTGCTGGGGATGCAGTATTAAAAGACACAAAAACCTCTTTCCTCATATAGCTAACATTTTACTTGGGGTGATGGATAATAAATAAATACACAAGTGAAATATATAGTGTTTGTGAATGCGATAAATGCTATGATGAAAAATGAATGAGGGAAGAGGGGATAAAGTGCCAGGAGTGGGGTGGGTGTTGTAGTGATTGAAAAGTAGTAGGGAACAGCCCCACTGAGGGGAGAACGGACCTGAGTCAAGATTTGTAGAAGGTAAGGGACTGAGCCGAGTGACTTATCTAAAGGAAGAGAATTCCATGCTGCAGTCCAAAGGCCATGAGGCAAGTGGGTACCTGACATGTGCAAGAAATAACCGAGGAGCCACAGTGGCTGGTGGAGTAGAAGGAGTCTAAGGGAGAAAGGAGATGAGATCAGAAATGCATGGATCTGCTGGTGAAAATGGAGGCAAATTATTATGAAAGACACTGTAAAGTACCGTTAGAGACTATTTTAAGAATTTCATTTCTCATTCTGAATAAGAAGAAACCATTGAGGGAGTGATATGATCTGACTTAGATTTTAACGAGATCATTCTGGCTGCGTTGGTGAGAATGGGCTAGGGAAGCAAGGGAAGATGCAGGGGAGCCATGACAGTAATGCAGGCTACAATATCGGTGTATTTTCTTCAAGTTTTCAGTTTTATATCTGTGTCATTACATTCTGAACTTAGTTCTCATCAATATTTATTATTAATTCTTTAAGAAAAAAATTAAGGAAAACAAATTAAAAACTTTATTCACGTAGTCTCCCACTAATCTCAGATGAAGACTTTCATTTATTTTAGTTTGGGTTTTATAAATGATAGATATAATAGATACTTGTCTTAAAATTAGCTGTAAGAATAAAGTTGCAATCTTCCATCTTTTTTAAAAAGTTTTTTCCTAGCATATTAGTAGGAAAAGTCCTCTTGGAAAAAAATAATAATTGGAGAACATGGATATGATCTGGATAGTTTGATTTGGGAAACAAGATTAGAATTCAGAAACATTAACATCCAGCTTTAATTACATGGTTTGGTAGCTTTGTTGTGTTTCATAATAATGAAGAAGGTGCTATACTGATTTTTTACTGAGGAAACTATGGTAGAAAATCAAAATGCAGAGAAAGCAGTCCCTCGTCATCAGCTCTAGTGGAACGTACTGTATATGGGATTTCACCATTAAAAATTTGTAAATCAAAGAGGCTGCTCTATTAGCGGCCTCATTAGTGATTCAGAAGCTCAGATTAGGTAACAATTTCTCCTGAAAATTTTATCAACTTGTAATAATGAAATTCTTTGTAGTCAGAGCATTTTGACTTGGCATTGTATCTCTTCACAACCACATTGAGATGTTTGAATCAGCATTACTTAGGTATATATTCCCAGATCTTTCTATTTTGCTATATATTGAATGTTGCACTGACTTCAAAGTACTGTCAGCTTTTGTTTGTCCTTTCCTTGTTCAGAATAACTTAATACATTAAAGTCATCTATCAAACTTGATCATATTCAGACCACATCAATCCTGGGCCTGTATGGAAACAAATTATAACCCCAAGGTTTATTAGTGGACTTAGAATAAGTGAACTCATTCTAACAAGTTAATCAACTTAGGTAATATTATCTTAAGACAGATGTGTAGATGTTAAATGAGTCTGGGGACTTCCCTTGTTGTCCAGTGGTTAAGACTTTGCCTTCCAGTGCAGTGGGTGTGGGTTCGATCCCTGATCGGGGAGCTAAGATCCCACATGCCTCGTGGCCAAAAAACCCAAAAAAGTAAATAAAACAGAAGCAATATTGTAACAAATTCAATAAAGACTTTAAAAATGGTCCACATCAAAAAAAATCTTTAAAAAATAGATAAATAAATGAGCCCGAAGTTATGCTTAAAACAGGGCCAGATAGTAACACAAGTTTTCACTTTCTAGATGTATATTCACAGAATATTCAGAATGATCGTTAATTAGGTGAGATTTTAGGATCAAGTAATTGGTTTTGGTGAACATATACTTCTAAAGTATACAAAGAAAAGAAGTGGGCTAAACTCTTGAGGGATTAGGAGAACTGTTGCAGGAAGCATATTCTGGTGAACATATATTGATTAAAATACAATTAAGTGTAGTAGCATTGAGGCCTCCCCCCAAAATCATTAAGTAGTCACCCAACAATATGTACAGATCAACTAAATTAGGAAAAATAGTGTCACCATAACCAAGAAAAATAAAATAAAAGCCAACACCCTGATGACTATTATTTGGATGCATTTTAGAAACAAAAGAGAAAATATCTACAGAAGTAATTTATCAGACGTAGGTTAGAGATCTTAAGAAGGATAGCTGATCTGAGGAGGATAAGGAGAACTGAAATGGTCAGAAAGGTTATTGGATTTTGTTTATAAATACAGATGTTTGAATTATATACAACCATGAAAGGCATGGCTGTGTCAAAAACAAGGTTTGCCACTTAGATCTGAGCACACTAGGGATCCACAGAGGCAGTTGGTTACTCTGGGCGTCCGGGCTACAGTGTGTGGCCACCAGCAACGGGAGTAACTCTCAGTGGTAGTGCAACCACAGGACCACCCAATTACATTTTTTTGGCTACTGCGTCTTTTTTATAGCCAAAAAGGTAGGACTCTTTCCCAGTTTTTGAAGACTGTATGACCAGAAGTTGGAGCTTTATTTCAGGGAACAAGATTCAGAGCCTTTATAGGGAACAAGGAATGTATGTTTGTGTATGTGTGTGCACACATGAGTGTGCATGTGTGCATACACATGTAGTTTTCCTTTCAGATCTAATATCAGTTGATACTTAATGACAATTGATTCTGGGATTTAAGATGCTAGTTTTAGGATCCTTTACTGTATATAAAGTGTTATTTGGAAAATATATTGAGAAGATGGGAGCAAAATTTACAAGCTTTATCAACATATATAATTAGAGAATACATTGTTTTTTCTAGTACATGTGGACACTTCCAAAAATTGAGTCTATGTTAGGCCACAAAGAGTTGGAAAAAAAAATACCAGAGTTGAGGTAATGCAGACCACTTTCTTTGTCAACAGTATAACAAAGTTGCTAATCAGTTATAAAAATATTAAAAGAAAAAAAACCCAAATCTGTGTTGTTTGGAAACTAAAAATACTTCTCAAGTCATGCCTCAAAAAAATGAATTATGAAAAATTATAAAATATTTAAAATTGAATGACAACTAAATCACTCTATGTCAAAACTTGCATGATGCAGCAAAAATAATTTTTGAGAGAAATTAACTGTACAGCAGAAATGAAGAAAGAAAATTGAGATGCTGAGCATTCAACTCAACAAGCACTCTTGTTTTTTTCTATCTTTTTACATTATAAGAGAGAAAATTATAAAGAGTAGAGCAAATATTTAATGAAATGGAAAACGAGGAGATAATGAAAAGGATCAATTAAAATAAAAGCTGGGTTTTCTTCTTTTAAGGCTAATAATATAGACAGACTTATTACAGGAAATACAGTGAAATAGAGAAGCCATAAATAAAAATATCAAAAATTAAAATTAAGACATTATTACAGACACAGGAGATATATAAGTAATCAGAAAGGAATACTCGGGGCTTCCCTGGTAGTCCAGTGGTTAAGACTCCATGCTTCCACTACAGGGGGGACAGGGGGCATGGGTTCAATCCCTTTTCAGGAACTAAGGTCCCACGTGCCACGTGGTGTGGCCAAAAAAGAAAGAAAGAAAGGAACATTCTAAATGGCTTTTGGCAATACCTTTCTAAACATAGATGAATTGACAATTTTTTTAAAATGTAAATTACAATGTCAAATCAAGAATAAACAGAAAACCCAAATAGACTTATCAACAGTTTAAAGGAATACTTAATTATGAAAATGACAATTTCTCCCATATTAATTAATGAAGTCAATCTATTTTTAATCAGAATTTCAATAGGGTTTTCACTGAATTTGGTAAGATAATCCTAAAATGTATATGGAATATTAAAGGGCCAGGAATAACCTAGAAAAGACTGACAAATTTAAAGTTTTTTTTTCAAGCTATAAACAATTAAAGATACCACAAAGTAAGTCAAAAGATAAGCCATTGATTGGGAGAAGATACTTGCATATAAGTGACAAAAGGATTAACAACTTATTCAAATCAACAAGAAAAAAATAACCA